AGTGGCGGTCCCTTGAAAGTACCGTGGACGGGCAGTCACTGTCAAGCGAGGGGCAGTGAGGCAGACTGCTGCTCTTGCCATGCAGCTCCATGCTGTTTGCAACAACTCACAATGAAATAGTCTCACTGGGTTCAGACAACACAACAACCTATCATGGTTCAAACAAGCCGTGGTTTGCTGGGGGGAAAAAGCCACTCCTGAAAGAAGCAGGCCAGATTCAGGATAAACAGCCCACCATGAGCAGGTTACTCATAGTCTGTTGTTGTGTAAAGCAAACCAGGTCAATATTGGATTGCCTGGCCACTAAGTGGTCAGTGCTAACCAAGCTGACACCCTTTTCAGCATGCTTTTCAAATTAATTAGCCCCCCTTTCTATTCCCCAAAGTCCTGTCAAGAATGTGATGGTACCGGATCTGCTGCTTTCTCTTGGGCACTGTACTTTCATAGACTATTTTGTTCCAGGCATGGAGTGTAAGCAAGGGCATTTCTGCAACTTGAGTCCTCCTGTCTGGAATCTCCCTTTTCTGTGTCCCGAAGGGCAATAGAGGCATGCCAAAGGGGAACTGCTGAGTTCCTGGAAGACTCTCTGAGACAAAGCAGTGCAAGCCCCTAATTTTTTGGGACGCTTGCTGTTTGTTTCTTCTGCGTTCCTGGTAAATCTCTGTCCCTAATTCATCCCTGTTTTGTTCATGGGGACAATTTAGGGGGTGGCTTTTTTTCGAATGGTGTGCGTGTTTACAGGTGCATATATATTGAAGCTAGAAGTGTTTATAGTAGGAATGAACAAATATTCCAACAACTGAAATGTGGTACAAAAGGGGAACACTTAGAATTAAGATTCAGAGCCCAGGAATTTGTCTGCAGAACAGAATGGGGCTCACCCTCCTTCCACACAGAACTCTGTCCCTGCTTACCCCAAGCTTTCTTCATTTTGGCAGCATAACGGGAGTGGGGGGCAGAGATCATTGTGCTGTGAGTCAGAAAACCTTGCCCATTTACTGGAAATCATCACTGGTAGATTCACTGGTAGATTCTGACCTGTTTTCTGCCCACCCCAGATTTACTGGATCCATTGCAAGATTAAAAACATTTTAAAGCAACTGAATTCCTAGAGGTCCAAACACACACATGACAAGTAAAAGGGAGAATTCCCAGAGGTCCAAATACATATACACACATTATCCTCCATCAGCTATAAAGCAGCATATAGAAACTATTTCAGAATAAATTAGTAAATGCAGCAGGCAGAGATGAGACAGCCTGAAAAGGATTGTTCTGTACATGAATGTGTGTGTGTTTGCAGGTACATGGGCAGCGATCTATGTTGCAAGAAGAGGAGTGTTTCAAGTACAATAGGAAGTGCTTCTCCCTTACTAGTCGGTCAGGAAAAGGATGCATCTCACTTGTGTTAATCTCAGCACTGAGCAAGAAGTAATCCATCCAGAAACAGCCCCCGTATCTCGCGGTGCCTGGAAAGAGGGGGCAAAGCCCAACAATGAGGTTTCCCTTCAAGGTAAAAGCGAAACAAAGCATATAATCAATGTTGCAGCAAGGTTCAAATGGTGGGGGTGGACACTGCTGGATTATAAAGGGCTAAAGTGGCAGGGGGGTCCACCAGGCCTTCTGCCTGACTGCGGAGCAGCCATGCTTCAGCAGTGCACAGTGACCTAGTGTTGAAGCAGTTACAACAGGGTGTGCATGTGACAGGTACCAGAAATGAGAAAGCCATAATCTGAATATGAGTCAACAATGTGATGCAGCTGCCAAAATAGCTAATGCTGTGTTGGGCTGCATTAACAGAAGTATAGCTTCCAAATCACACGAGGTCCCGGTTCCCCTCTGTCTGGCACTAGTCAGGCCCTCTGGAGCAGAGCATCAAGTTCTGGGCACCATACTTTGAGAAAGGCGCAGATGAGCTGGGGAAAGTTCAGAGGAGGGCAACAAGGATGATCCGTGGACCAGAAACAACGCCCCATAGAGGGAGACTGAAACGTTTCGCCTGGAGAAGAGAAGACCGAGTGGGGACGTGGCAGCACTCTGCAAGGACGGGAAAGGCTGTCGCACGGAAGAGTGCCGGGATCTCTTCTGAATCATCCCAGAGTGCAGGACATGGGCTGGCGGGCTCATGTTACAGGAAGGCAGACTCCGGCTGGGCACCAGGACGGGTGTCCTCACTGTCAGAGCAGTGCAGCGATGGGGCCAGTGAGCTGGGGAGGTGGCCGAGGCCGTCAAGAGGCAGCGGAGGCCTCTTCGCCCCCCTCAGGGATGCTTTGACTTGGAGTCCCACACTGAGCAGGGGGCTGCATGCAGTCGCCTTGAAGACGCCTTCCAACTCTTCCAGCTTCCTGAGGCTTTCATGATAGGATGGCATATAAATATTCTAAATAAACAAACAAACTCTAGTATTTGGGGATTCTATGAACAGTTCTTGACCATTCAATCAACTCTGGTGCAATTCCAGAAAGACACCCCTGGATGACTATCTGGCCCCAAGTCATTCTGGCCTGTCCTCGAATGGACACTGAAATGGCTCTGATTGCCCTGAAGGATGAACTCTGCTGGGAGAAACCACCCATCTCCAGGGTCTCTCAAGGCTCTTACTTACAAACAGCCATGGTATTTCTCTGGATCAAGGGCAGCCTGGATATTTTGAGGGTCTTCAAAAGGGACATGGGTATCCTTCTGTGTTCTTATGGACTTCTGAAGAGGTAGCCTTGACACTGTGGAGTGGAGGTCCAGCACCACCAGGTTGCAGCACCCCCCAGCCGGCTAGTTTAGATTTGGATCGGGGGCATGCACAGGAATTAGCAGAGGCCCCTAAACTGCCAAGGTCACCAGGCAAAGTGTGGGAGCCACGCTGTCTTGGAGCCATGCTGTAGAACAGGGCAGGGCAGAGCCCAGGGAGGGGGAGTTCTGGGCTCCCGTCCGGGGCTTCCGTCTGGTGAAAACAGCGGCCAGCCCCCCAGCAGCATGAGCCACCCTGAGGGGGGAGTCAAGCCTCCTCCAGAAGGAAGGAAGGAGGGGGATGTTTTCATTTGATGTCAGCTCTTCACATGGGCAGACACCACTCCCACCTCTCAAAGCAATAGTTACCTTGGTTTATGCTGCTCGTGTAAGTTTTTGTCTGCTGTAGAGGGATAAAGTGAGGGAGAGATGTGCACCAACAGAGATTGCCTTAAATAAGAAAACTACAACATTTCAGAAGGCTAGTTCATATAGAAAGGGAGTCCTCAATTTTTTGGAGGGGGGCAATTTTCTATGAACATGCCTTTAAGGTGAGAAACCTGCACAGTTTCAGAAAGAGAGGTGCGGGGTCTAGAGAGCTAGGATGACGGAAAGCCAGCTGAAGACTTCCAGAGTACAGCCTGGGGTGCGGGAAGAATGGCCACATCTCTGCCCCAGACCTGCCCTCCCCAAGTTATGGCAAATGGAGCCCTGGGCAGGGTCAGTCCTACCATCAGGCAGACCGAGGCCCCTGCTTCAGGCAACAGGGGCTGGAGAGAAAGCTGGGTGTATACAGCCTGCCCTGTGCCTCCTCAGCTAGACTGCTACCTTCAGGTGGATGCTGCTGTGTTGCCAGTGTTGAAGGACTGGACTGCTGACCCATTCAGCTGTTGCATGTGGAATGGATGTTAAAAGTCCACCTTGTCCTTTGCCTTGCCTTGAGTTGGCCTTGCCCTCCTAAGACATGCCCTAGGATTAGAGGGTGGACACTGCAGGTGCTCAGTCGCATTCCTTCCCTCTTCCTCTTGCTCATAATCACAGTATTCAGAGCAACAAAATCAAAAGATGTTATTTGTAGAAGACAGAGTGGGCCAATTCATACCACACGCTGGACTTGCTGACACTCCAGTTTGAAGATGTAACTCCCAACGAGGTTGCAGCATGTCTGGCACACCCGACCACTGGGAATTCAAATAATGCTACAAAAGACCAATAATCATATTCCATGTTGCATAGTCAAAATAGTGCGCCATGGCATGTTGTGCCAACTGGGCCAAGGTTTCCACTTCACTTCTCCAAAACTCAAGTTACTAGCCGAGCTTCATTCTGGAGTTGTTTTGCTTCTTTTGGCTTCTGAGGGAAGCCTGCAGTGACATGGAAAGCATAGGAACTGGACTGAAGAACTGAAGCCCAATTCTGCTCTGCTTGTATCTGAATCCAATGCACATCCTAATCTTTGGACTAAAACTGTATTACTTTGGGTTAACAAGTGAATGAAAGATCCCACTGTTGCAATGAACTTCTCAGCCTTGCAAACTAGGGTGGCCTGATAAAACAGTGGAGGCTGGTGATTGCAAAGGGGAAGGGTGAGCATCCACTTCAGATTTCAGCCGGAACGTTAAAGGGACGGCCCATAGTGCGGAACCGTATCCCCAAATAGGTTCGGCACCATGGATAAACCTTTAAAAGTTCGGTATAAAATCCAAAGTGGGTAGACAGCCCTCAAGGCTAGTAAGGTTTGCAGCAGGGGGCCAAAAGAGAGACGAATTTAAATCTGTACCTACGGTCAAGTAACTCCCAATTTGCTCTAGACATTGGGTGCCTAGCGCGGGGGGGGGGGGGGGTAAAGAGGCTTTGAAGATCCGGATCGAGTTTCTAGAGCAAAAACGGAAAGAGGAAAAGGAAACCGCAGCTAGACACGGACTGAAAGTCGCGCCCGCTCCGGCCTAGGGCGCCGCAGCCTCTGCCACCGCACTGGCGCTTCAGCATTGCTCCGACCCGTCCCCGTGGACCGCCTCGGCTACGGCCACGACGGGGCCGCGCGCGCGCTCAGATCCGCCTCCGCGCCTTCCGGAGCGCCTCGTGACTCAGCCGAGAGCGCCCTCCCCGCCCAGCGACGCCCTCTGCCAATCCGTCCCCGCCGTGAGCCGAGCCCGGCTGGCCGGGGACTCTTATTCTGAAAGCGGGGCGGCTGGTTCTCTCTCTTGCTTAGTCATGGTGACTGACTCCCCATCTCCTCCCCTCCGCCCTCCCTGCTTGCTTCCCCCACCCGCGGCGGCGGCGGCGGCAGCAGCAGCAGCGGCAGCTTTCAGTGGCGGCTGCTTGCACCATGGAGGAGCAGAGGAGGAGGAGCTCTCAGCTGGATGGAGGAGGAGGAGGAGGAGGAAGAAGAAGGGGGGCACAGGGACTGCCATGGAGAGGTGAGTAGTGCCAACCCCCGCCGTTACTTTCTGTACGTGCTCAGAGGAGGGCTTGATCTTTGCCTCCCATTTCCATTCCCCCCTCCTGTCTCGCTTTCTCCGGGTAGAATGGGGCGCGTAGACTCTCGTCCAGTAGCCCCGGCCAGTCGACTGGTTTACCGGAGCTCGCCTAATGAAACGAGGCGAGGAAAGCTGCAACATTTGGCAGGGAGGGCCTTCCCTCCTCACTCAGACCCTTGGGAAGGGAAGATCGGAGGCCCGGGGCGGCGGGGAGTGGGAGAGGGCTCGTATTTGTGGAATTCATTGCGGGATGGGGGCAGGTGGTTTTGTTTTGTTCCGACGTCTGCCTTGCCAGGGCGTCTGCCTTTGTTTTGTAGCGGGTACCACCACAGCTTGCTGGCTTGGGTAAGGGGTTGCTGCGACTGCAAGTCGAGGTGTAGGCTCTGGTGTGGAGGGGCTGGGAGACATCGCGGGATAAGGCACGTGTGGATATGGGGACTGGCTTGAGGAGACTTTGGAGGCTGGGCAGACCGGACTGCCGGTGTCGGGCCTCTTGGAGTAGGGATCCCTTCTACGGTATCAATAAAGCAGCATGCGGGAGAGCTGGACTGGCATTCCCGGTGATGTCACCGAGGCGGGGGGGGGGGGGGGCTGGCGTGCTTGCACCATGCAAGCGAAGGTGCTGGCTGGGATCATACCGTCCACCTAAGCGCGAAGTTTGGCCTCGGCAGAAAATGGATTGGGAAGATGAGTGTATGTTAGGCCAAGTTGTCCTGGACACGTGTGGAGTGCTGAAGAAACTGCTCAGTTTGTACGTGGTCCTTTGGGTGCCTTTGGGTTTCAGTCCTGTGATGGATCGCAGTCCCACCCTGGCTGAGCAAAATGATTTCCACAACCCCCTGTCAGCATCTCTCACTTCCACACTCCTTCCTTCAACTGCCAGCCAATGCTTGAAAGAGAAAAGACACTTGATGCTTGGTAGATTCAAAAGAAGTCTGAGCTGGCTGAGGATTTCCCTGTGAACTACACGTTTAAAAATGCGAGGCTGCTTCCACACATGCTGCCCAAGAGGCCTGCGAGGGAGAGATCAGAGCAGCTTTCCTCAATCTGGAAAGCCCTTCAACTGTCTTGGGGAACAGTCCAGGTAGACTGTCCAAGCTGCCAGAAATGCAACAGGAGCTGATTTGGGAGTCAGAAAAATTCAGTACCCCAGAGCTGGCCTGTAATGAGTGTGAATGTATTGGGCTGGGAAAGGTTGGGGAATTCGGCCTGAGGTGAAGAAGCCACAGTGGCTCTTAGGTATCAGCTGTCATTCTTATGAAAACCCCAAAGTAAATATTATCACCTCTTATATACAAAATATCTCTTTAATAAAGTAACTTGCTCATCATATTCCTTCTGGTGGTGCCCCTCTTACTCATAAGCCTTTTATGCCAAGTTACAAGGAGGTTTTAAAGTATTCTAACAGAATTGGTGGCGATGGCAAAGAGTCAAACTTGTGGAGCTGAATTATAGCAGCAGAGGGTTTTAAGGCCCAGAAATCTATGCATTTGTTAAAAAAAATAGGAAACCCCTTAGGTGAGATTGCCCAGTGAAGGGGCAGTTTGCGGGGAGTTGCTGTCCAACAAAGCTGGAGGCACCATGTTGAAGAAAGCTGGCTTGGAACAGCCTGTGGCAAGTAATAGAAAGTAACGGTATCTGCATACTTCTGACTCCTAGATTTATTTCCTCACCTTTAAACCAGCCATGTTCAACCAGGCTTTGTTGAACAATAATCCCACCATTCCCAGCCGCCACAGCCATTGGCTGGAGATGGCAGGAGTTGTAGTCCAATGCGTCTGGCAAGGGATGCCAGGTTGAGCAAGGCTTAGTTAATGTGACCAGTTTAAAACCAGCTGAGAAAAGCCTGTTACACCATTCTTTCAAAAAGTAGCCAAAGAACCAAAATGTACCTGGGGGAAAGATACTTCTATATAGCCAAAGCCTTCATATTGATGCCTTTGTGAGAGACTGAGGGAAGTGTTTACACTTTATTAAATAAACAAGAGGAGCAAAAGCAAATGCTCTTTGTTGAGAGCAAAGAGCGGGTTATGTTGTGCTTTCGCTTTCATTCTTCATTAAAGCAACATGCTAGAGCCTCAGAAACTACACAAGCATGGTTTACTGCTAGCCTCAACCTTTTATTTTAATTGGCCATGACTCGCTGACTGAGCAAGGAAAGCTTTAGAGAAGACTCCTGTGCTTAGACAGGAGAATTTCCTTCCAGCATCTCTGCAGCCAGTTTGCGCAGCATTGCACCCTCCGCTGATTAATCTGTTGTGTTAAGGCGGCAACCGTATATTGTGCTTCAGTGTTTTAAAAGGAAAATGAAGCAAGTGGTGTCTGCACATGACTAAGGACCGCCTTGGCACCAGAGAGATGGTGAGTGTTGTGATGGAGATACCACAAGCCATCCTTGTGAGCCCTGAAAAAGTAGCAAATAATGATTTTAAACGACAATTATAAAATTTATAAACTTTTCCACTTCAGTAAATATCAGAGGGTGATCAATAAATTAAGACACAAAACACACCAGTGTCAGTGGAAAAAAAACTCTTGGCCAGCAAATTCAGCCAAATTATTGTAGCTTGGCTGCAGACACAAGTTTGGATCATTTTAAGAAGTACTTAAGATGCCCCAGCCAACAGTGCAGCAGATGCTTTCAAGCATCCCGAAGCCACAGCCAGGGCTATGCTCTGGGCAGGCAGACCCCGATCCCCAGTTCCTTCTCCCTCTTGCAAGCACTGCTGCTTTCAGCCACCTTAAATAGCTTGTGGAAGGCCAGTGGAGGAGGACTTCCTGCGTCTGCTGGGACTGCGACAAGTACTACCAACAGCAACAACCCATGTAGAGAAGTGGTGGTTGGCACTGTCTCCTGGCAAGTTTTTAAACAGCCTCTGGCCTTTTCCTGCTGTATTTGCACACTGCCCGAAACCTGCTGTCAAAGTCCAGACTTTGTTTTTGCCAGGCATGTTGACTGAAACAGCCCTGCCCCCTTTCATACCCAGATTGGGGCTTGGTGTGTGTCTGTGCACTAGAGACCAGAGCAGGGTTATACCAGCTGCTAAACAGATTGGCTTTCACACAAATTTTGGGGATAAAGAGACTTTATTTATCTGCCGTTGTGAGTGAGAATCTGGTCTTCTGGGCTGTGTTTCTGTAATTGAAGACTGCAGGCTTTCCATTTCAGAGCATGGTTGTGTGTTTACTTCCAATGCATTGCCAATGGATGCCAGCTTTAAACATACATGTACTTGCATGCACACGCACACACACTCTTACTATAACTTTTTTGTTACAAACTTAGGAAAATGCATGTTAAACTAGACCATTTAAGGCTGCACTGGCAAAGTTTAATGCTGAATCTTAGTTCTGTGAAGGGCTTGTTCCCCAGGCTGGAAAAATGCTCCTTCGCATGCTCTCTCACAAGCCATGTCCATGTAAATTGGACTTGACGGAAGGGGAGTCTGAGCAGCCTGTTCCTCCTGAATCTCCACACTGCTGCTCACACTCCACTGCAGTGCTGCTGATGTTCTGCCTCAGCAGGGCAGCTGGCATCTCCATCCGCAGTTTGGGAGCGCCAGCTGTAGAGGCAAGTCTTGCACCTGTATCCATTGATTTATTCTAGAGGAGACGGATGGGTTGGTGCTTTCTTGACTTCCTTGCGTTTTCCACCATTCTGAACTGTCTCTCCCTAGGCTTTAAGGTAGAATATATTGATTTGTTGTGTTTTGACCCGGTCTCCTTTGCACCCACAACTGTTGCCTTCAGCTACATCCACCACTAGAATGCAGCACCTGAGAGTGTCTCCAAAATGAATTCAGCCCTTGGGCCAGAAGAGCTTTCCCACCCTGGACTACATGCCCAGTGCAGTATTATTTATTGATTGATTGATTTTTCGATTTATGTCCTGCTTTTTTCCTACAAAGGGCTCAAGGCAGCTTGCATCATTCTCCTCCTCCATCTTATTCCCACAACAACAACCCTGTGAGGTAGGTTGGGCTGAGAGCCTGTGACTGGCCCAAAGTCACCCAGTTGGCTCCATGGCTGAGCGGGGACTAGAACCCAGATCACCTGAGTCCCAGCCCCATGCTCTTCACCACAACACCACACTGGCTCTCTAATCTTGCCTATCTTTTAAAAAGATATCTTGCCTATCTTTAAAAAAAGCTGCTTTGGAGACCATGAAAGCTGTTTTGGGGACCACCTACTGAATTTCCAGAGTTGCGCAACAACACAGCCTTGCAGCGAAATGTGCAGAAGTTAGTAGTCCACAGATGTTTTCAGCAGAACCCTGCCCCATCAATCTGCCGGTAAAGCAAGGAGTAAATATGAACTACTTCTTCTGTGTGCTCTTTCTCCTTTCTGGTCTAATATGCTGAAAGCACAGTACAGGCTAAGGGCGAACTCTCTGGCCAAAGAGGTGTGAAAGACTGTGCTGGGATCATGCAGCCTTATTGTTCTCCTGGACCTTGAGTCACGCACTGAAGTTGGCTTGTCAGCGTTAAGCTGGACAGCTCATGCCCTGCACAGCAGATTTTCTCTGCTGCTAACGAGGTCTGCCAGCTGCTTTGTTTCGGGGCGAGCCCATGGTGCATGCCATGCGACCCTGCAGAGGAGACTGTCAATGAAGCAGCTTTGGCAGTTTGAGCATGGCCTTCTTTTGGCTTTTGTGAATTCAAATGGTGTCTGAATGCAGCCTCAATTGTGCGAGTTCATCGCTGCTTTTGCAATGGCAGGTTTTTGTCATCTGCACGGTTTCTCCAAGAGTTCCACTTAAGAAAATGGACGGAAAGAAAGAGCTACCTAAAACCTAAACTGGTTTGATAAAGATCATGAGGGAGCAAGGACAACAAACGTGTGTGGATCTCACGCACCAATCCCTTGGTGTTCCATCTCGCCACGTGCATTCATTTGCCAAAGTTTTCAAAAGATGTCATTTGAAAGGAAAGCCATATGGT